GCCAGCCACAGCCTGGGACTTGTGATGTCCGGTGTTTCTTCTTCTCTCATTATCCCTTGTGTTCTTGCTCCATTCATGGATGTATTGGTCAGACCTTGAAATGTTAAGTTCACTAGTGTCTACATCTTCAACCAGACTGGATATTTTTCAGGACTGGAAGATCAGGGAAAGTGAAAGCTATGTCATGGGCTGCCTTGGATCACCGGGTGTGTCTTCAACAAGTGAGTATTTTTCACACCTGGAGATATCAGGGAAAACGAAACCTAACTCCTTGGCTGTCTTGGATCACTGGGTGTGTCTTCAGCCAGAATGGACTTTGCAGGCCTGGAAGAGAACAAGGGAAAAGGAAACTTATTTAATTGGCGGCCGTGCATCTCTAGCTATGTCTTCAAGCAAGGATGGATTTTCCACTCTGAAAAGAACTGAATTGAACAGAAACACATTCAAGATCCAGCGGGGGTAGACAGATGCTAGGATTGGGTCGTGGTTGGTGGTGGTAAGCGCCATTTCAGGATACTCAGTTATCTATACTGGGTAGGGTCAGGAAACAGATTATTCCTTCCTTGAGGCCCTAGCCTTGGTGCCTAAGTCCCTTCAAGGTTGAGAGGAGGCCAGTGTACCCTCACTCTCTGACCCATCTTTTGTCCTCATGAAAGCACCATCAAGAGTGCCTAGCTAGGAGGAAGGGACCCAAGGCTTCAGCTGCCTCTGTAGGCTCCAGAGTAGGTGAGATGAGCTCCAAGGGTTAGAGCAACATCGTGAGATATTGCCATTTGTCATTTCTCAGGAGTGGACGTGCATGTCTTTGCCATGGAGCCTTTTACCCTGAGCAAACACTTGCAGTGGCTGAAATGGTTCCACCTTGGAGTCTCAGGGATTTCCAGGTTGGATGGTGGGAATCCACCACTTGGTCCCCAGTCTCTTCAGCAAAACTCCAATTCCCTTAACAGATTTGGGTTTTCTTTGGATCCTCTACTGGGCTCCATGGCATTGTCTGGAACAGGCACACTAGTGGCTTCCCTTGTCTGCAAGATAATAGCTTCCACAGCTATGGTCAAGCTGGAGGTGCAGTCTTGGGCACCGTTCTAGCTGGTTTCCCGGGGACATGACTAAGGAGGCTCGAGAGTGGGTGTGAGGAGATAGTGAGACAGAATACAGCATCCTGCCCTTTGCTGCCCACTCTCACACACATGGCCTCATCTCTGGCCTTGAAAGAGACCAGACCCTAGCATCGTCCTGGACATTGATTCCCTAACAGCAGAGATCTACATTCTTTATAATGTCCAACTCAGAGACCTTGGTTCCTGGGGTCTGGATCTGGGTACTATATTCTGTTATCATGTCTTTTTGATTTACCAGAAGAATTCACTTTTCTTCCCCCCCAGACAACTGTTTGACCTTCTGAATCTACAATGCAGGGTGTCGATTTCAACAATGTGTGGATTTTAACAGTTCTGTACTTCAGTTTTCCTTCAGTTTGTGTCGGCCCCTCTTCACCTGTATTCGTTTATTTTCCTCACAGATATCTTCACTTTCAACCCAAAATTACAGGGTTTTGGTGTCAATGTGTGTGTGTGTGTGTTTCTGCAGACAGATTTTATCCTTTGCATGGCTCTCCACCTGTGTCCCTAGAAGAACCTAGAGACATGGATTCTGAAAGCACACACAGTCTTCTGTGCAGCCAGTGTTCTTTTCCTTTCCATCCCCAGGCAGATGTACTTGAGGTTTTCTCTAGACCACACAGCAGGTAATTCATGGAGGATGTGCTTCTGACACTTTCCAAAGTGTAACATTATCCATCCAGGGCTCACCCTGTTTGCCCACACTGCCCTGGACTCTGGAGCTCCTGAAGGTTGTAAGCATCTTGTCAGGAGCCCTGAAAGCAAAAAACGGAGCAAAATCCATCTGAGATGTCTGAGATCTCCAAAGTCAAGCAGCCTGTGCCTCCTCAGGTCAGACAAATGCATGTGGGTCCTCTGTCTCAGAGAAGAATAGACAGGGCTCAGTCCTTCCTTTAAGCATGATGGTGGAGGGGACAGTGCTGGTGCCATAGGATTTACTGCGGATTAAATAAATCTCCATAGGATTTATTTAAATAGTAAATCCTATTTACTCCATAGAATTTTTTTTTTCTAGCCAAGGCTGCTTTTGCTGTGCTTGAAGGTGGTAAATATCTTCTGGGAAGGGTTGCAAGTCAACTCCCATCCTCCCTGTAAACAGGGAGCCAGGAAGCAGCCTATGTTGCCCCAGGAGGCACACATACACAGAGACACACATACACAGAGGCACAGATACACACACACACACACACACACACACAGACTCAACCACCCCTCCCCTGCCCACCCTACTTTTTACATTTTTATCTCCAGCCCACAGCAGCCCTGCAGCTTTACAGGGATGGGAATATGGGAAGGAGTGTGGGATCACGGTGATGACACAAAGCAGTTATTTTGGAGATCTATTTTACCCCTCTGATCAGAGAACCAGCCACAGCCTGAGGCTTGTGATGTCCAGTGTTTCTTCTTCTCTCCTCAGTATCCCTTGTGCTCTAGACCCATTCGTGTGTGTGTGTTGGTCCGACTTTAAATGTTAAGTCCACTAGTGTCCAGTGGTGTCACCTTTGTGTTTCTCAAGGGACATGGGTGATGGGAGCGGTTAGCATAAGACAAGTAGCCAGCAACAGTGTGCATATGTCAGGGTAATAGTAAAGCACATATTTTATAATATGGTACGCAAATGTGTTCTGTTGTTTTAGTTTTTGAGAGTGGTTTCTCCGTGTAGCACTGGCTGTCCTAGAAGTCTATCTCCATAGTAGTCTGGCTTTGAACTCAGAAATCTACCTGCCTTTTCCGTTCTAGTGCTGGGTTAAAGATATGTACCACCATGCTTGGCTTCAGATGTGTTTTTCTACTACAACATATTAAAGTGGTGGGTGAACAGAGACAGACATAAAAAGGAAAGGGAAGGGAAGGGAAGGAAAGGAAAGGAAAGGAAAGGAAAGGAAAGGAAAGGAAAGGAACGGAAAGAACATGGCTGCTCCTAGGTGTGGTGGAGGAGAACACTCGTTACCGATATGACTGAGAGCATAGACAGAGCTATGGATATCTGGGGGAGTCCCGGGTAGACATGACCAGACTGAGCCGGACTTATGGGGAGAAGCCACGGGGGAAGGAGAATGAAAAGAGAGGAACCAGGTGCACCAGTCAGGATTCAAAGGTACAAAAGGAGTGGATAATGAAAATGTATTGTACAGAAAAGTGCTTCTGGGGGAAGGGCAGCACAGCCCCCTTCACACACACACACACACACACACACACACACACACACACACACACCAGGCTAAGAGTTCATGGCAGAAGGTTGCGTATGCCAGTCATAGCTAGAATGGGTAGGGAGGGACTCAGAGATGCTGGAAGATCCAGGCTGCCAGGTCTGCTTTGAAATGCTAAATGGACACCAGAGCCACTTGTCCT